ATAAATAAAATCTTTAAAAAATAATAAATAAATAAATAATAAATAAAACTCACCACACACACACCCCCTCAAAAGATGAACAGAGGTCAGAAGTGTGTTTCTGAGCAGCAATGTTCTCAAATATTCCACTACGGACTGTGAGCCCACATGCAGACAGAAGCGCCGCGCCGAGGATGGAGGCGTCCACGCAGTCAGCTGCCCCTCCCCCGGCGCCCTGTCCTGCTGCCTGCCCTCACCCCCTCCTCGCCTCTCGTCTGGCCTCCACACGTTGGTGACAGTAGCTCATATTTACTGAGCACTTACCACGGGCTTGGCACTGTGCTCAGAGCTCTACCTACCTCATCTTAGTGAGCCCCCACAGCAACTGGAGGATGAGGGACCTGAGGCTCGGATGGGGACAGCAGCTCGCCTGCAGACATGAACCTTCCGTCCACCCAGCAAGCTCTCAGCCACTGCAGCCCCCGGGCCAGGGCACAACCGCTGGCCTACCTTCAGCCCGATGACGTTCTGCCCGTTCACCTCGCACACGGTGTGGTTGGTGAGGAGCCCGTTGCGGGCCGCAGAACTCCCTTGGACCACAGAGATGACCTTCCCCTTCTTGATGACAAAGCCGATGTGGCCCATGCTGTCCTTGTGCATGGTGATGGTCCGCTGGAAGGGCCTGGCGGGGAGAGACAGTGAGCTGGGCCTGGAACGTGGCTGGGGCCAGACAGGGAGGCTCTGGGGGCCCGGCTACCCACCTGTCCCGAGCGACCATGACGATCTTCTCGGCCGATGCCCTCTTCAGCACCCGGTGGGCTCTGTCCGTGCTCCACCCGGCACAATCACGCCCGTCGATCTGCAGGATCTGATCCCCGAAGTGCAGCCCCACAAGAGACGCAGGGCTGTTGGCCTTCACCAGCTGCACGAAGAGCCCCTGGAGGAGGACCCACCGTCAGCTCCGAAGGCCACTCTGAGCCCAGGTCCCTCCTGTGGCTGTGCTCCTGATCATCTAGGAGCTACAGCTCTGTGTGGGCAGGACAGCGGTTACCCCATTTCCCTGGGGAGGAAACACTCCAGGCCACATAGCCAGAGAGCAGCTGAGTCAGGCTTTCAACCCTGGCTGGAGGCTGCACCCCCAGCCCCCGGACTGCCTGGCTTCTTACAATGGCATTGGCGCCCCTGGCTTCCACTGTCTATAGACAGCTGCCTGGAAGCCAGATCCCTCTGATGGAGGGCAGGGGGGAAGGGAGGCTCTGAGTAGTTGGAGCCCAGGAAGGGTAGGTGGATGGTCCCTATTGCTGGAACCCAGCACCAGCCCTGAGGCCCTGGGGGAGGGAGATTGAGAGGAACAGCCTGGGCTTGAGATTGGGTAGGCCTCGGCTCACCTGCCTGCTCTGCACCTTCCTTACTGTGGACAGGGCCCACACTGCCCCCTCCCAGGCTGGTGGGAGATGTGTGTGGGAAATGCCCCCTACTCTCCTGCCCAGCCCCCAGCCCTACCTGGTCAATGGCCTTTAGCCGCAGCCCAGTCTTGCCATGCTCATCCTTGCACAGGTGGATCTCACGCACCCCGGGCTTGATCTCCGCACGCCGTGTGCCAAGGCTGTTCCCAGACAGTGGTGCCACCAGCTGGCCCAGCGAGGAGCCAGAGCCCACCGTCTGCAGACAGACACCAGGGTGGGGTCAGCTGGCCCCTGGGGCCTCGTAAGGATGAAGAAAGAAGGATGCAGTGGTCCCTGGGCCCTATCCCATCCGCAGACCATACTCTTCTCTGCAGGGGCTGCTAGGGGACATGGCTCCATGAAGCCACTGGGGGGCATCAAAGTCTACGCCTCTGAAAAACAGCTAGGAATATGAGGAGAGACAAGAGAGTATGGGTATACAGAAAAGGGATTTTGCAAGGCACATTGGTATCAGGAGAAGACCCCTTTGAAATTCAACTAAAAATAAAATTTTGCAGCAAATAGGGAGCAATTGGGGGGAAAAGGACTTGATTTAATTTTTGTCTTGAAAAGAATGTAAGCAGGGGCGCCTGGGTGGCTCAGTCGTTAAGCGTCTGCCTTCGGCTCAGGTCATGGTCCCAGGGTCCTGGGATCGAGCCCCGCATCGGGCTCCCCGCTCGGCGGGAAGCCTGCCTCTCCCCCCTCCACTCCCCCTGCCTGTGCTCCTCTCTCAATGTGTCTCTCTCTGTCAAATAAATAAAAAAAATCTTTAAAAAAAAAAAAAAGAAAAGAATGTAAGCAAAAAGTATAAAAATGAATGCTTTCCCCCTAAAGCCCAGAACAAGTTAGGATGTCACTCTCACCACTACTATTAAATATGGTACTGGAATAACTAGCCAGAGCAATAAGGCAAGAAAAGAAAATAAAAGGCATACAGATTGGAAAAGAAATATTTGCCGATGATATGATGATCTACTAGGAAATTCCCAGGAATCTACAAATAAACTCCTAAAACTAATAAGTGAGTTCAGCAAAGTCACAGGATACAAGATCAACACACAAAAATCAACTGTACTTTTTATACACGAACAGCATGCACATGGAAACTGAAATTAAAAGTACATTACCAACTATAATCACTCAAAAATAAGAAATAGGAGTAGAGCTAACAAAACATATGTAGGAATTATATACTGAAAACAAAAACAAAAAATGACTCATAAAAAGATATCAAAGGAGATCCAAATAAATGGAAAGGGGGGAGCCTGGGTGGTTCAGTTGTTAAGCGTCTGCCTTTGGCTCAGGTCGTGATCCCAGGGTCCTGGGATCGAGCCCCACATCAGGCTCCCTCCTCGGCAGGAAGCCTGCTTCTCCCTCTCCCCCTGCTTGTGTTCCCTCTCTTGCTGTGTCCCTTTCTGTCAAATAAATAAATAAAATCTTTTTTTACAAAAAATGGAAAGGTATTTTCTATTCATGGATTAGAAGAACATAGTAAAGCTGTCAATTGCCCCCAAATTGATATAAAGATTTAATGCAATTTCTATCAAAATCTTTACAAGATGTTTTGTAGATATAGGCAAGGTTAATCTAAACTCTATATGAAAAGACAAAGGAAGTAGAATAGCTAAACCTACTTTGACAAAAAGAATAAAGCAGGAAGAATCACTCCACCAAATGTCAAGACTTATTATTTAGCTACAGTTTGGTAACAGTGGAGAGACAGACACATGGATCAATGAAATAGGACAAAGACTTGAAAAATAGCCTCACACAAGTAGGGCCAACTGCTTTTTAAAAGAGGTGCCAGAGCAGTTCGATGGACAAGAAATAGTCTTTTCAACAAAAGGGATAGGAGCAGTTGAACATCCATAGACAAAAATATGAACCTTGACCTAAGCTTCACACCTTATACAAAAATTAACTCAAATTTCATCATAAATTTAAATGTAAAACATGGGGCGCCTGGGTGGCTCAGTCAGTTAAGCATCTGACTCTTGGTTTCGGCTCGTGTCATGATCTTAGGGTCCTGGGATCAAGCCCCACAATGGGCTCTGTGCTCACGGCTGGAAATTATCTCCCTCTCCCTAGGCTCCTCCACCTGCCTGCTCGTGCACGTGCGTGCTCTCTCTCTCTCTCTCTCTCTCAAATAAATAAATAAATACAATCTTTTTTAAAAATGTAAAACATAGGTTTTAGATAAAAATAAGGGGAGAAAATCTTCAGATTTCAGGCTTGGTGTAAATGGCTTCAGACAGGCCAGCAAAGCCTGATTCACAAAAAAAAAGAAAAAAGAAAAAGAAAAAAAGATCCACAAATTGGAACCTCATCAAAATTAAAAACTTTTGCTCTGCCAGAGATCCTTTTAATAAGTTGAAAAAAGAAGCTACACTTGGGAGAAAATTTTTACAAAGACCTGACAAAGGACTCTAGAATAAAGAACTCTCAAAACTTGACTTAAAAAAAACAAACTATCCATTGAGAAAATGAACAAAACATATGAAGAGCATTTTACTGAAAAGAATTTACAGCTGGTAAATAGCACATGACAAGACGATGAACATCACTAGCCAGTGGGGAAATGCAAACTGAGACTGTGAAGAGACATCACTACACACTTATCATGACAGCTAACATTAGTGAGAAGCTGGCGAGGATGGGAAGAAACTGGAGCAGCACGTTTTGCCGGCAGGAAAATAAAATGGTAGAGCCACTCTTAAAATAGTTTGGCAGTATCTTTTAAAAATTTAAACATGCATTTATCATACAACCTAGCAACTGCGCTCCTGGACATTTATCCCAGAAAAATGAAAACTTATGTCCGTACAAAAAACTATACACAAATATCCATAATAACTTAGTCTGTAATAGCCCCAAACTGGAAACAACGAAAACGACCCTCAGTGGGTTGAACAAATCTCGGTACATCCATACCATGGAATACCACACAACGGGATGAACTTGGGGAGGGGGTGGGAGGTGGGGGTAACGGGATGGGGATTAAGCATACACTTGTTGCGATGAGCCCCAGGTGATGTACAGAATTGCTGAATCACTGTATTGTACTGAACTGATATAACACTGTAGGTTAACTATAGTGGAATTAAAACAAAATGAAATAAAAACGAACAAATAAATAAATAAAATGGGACGAGCTATTAATAGAGTGAACAACCTAGAAAAATTTCAAGGGCATTATGCTGAGTTGAAAAAGCCAATCTGAAAACACTATATGATTCCACATAGATAACATTCTGAAACAAAATTATCGAGGCAGAAAACAGACTAGTGGAGGCCAGGGGGTTCAGGAAGGTCAGGGGGTAGAGGGTGGGCATGATCGTGAAGGGCCAGCCTGAGGGAGACCTCTGTGGTGACGAACTCATCTGTGCCTTGGTTACACTGGTACCTACGTGGGTCTATCTATACAGGTGACAAAGTGACACGGTACTACAGACACCCACTGGACCAAGGCAAAATGCTTGCTTTCCTTACCCTACAGTTATGCAGCCACCCCCCACAGAACCACTGGGAAAACTTCTCTGTGCTATCTTTGGGACCTCCCAGCAATCTATGATCATTTAAAAATAAAAAGCTAAACATAAAATTTTTTAATTATAAAAATGAATTCATCTGTCATATTTGTATCAATGTTAAGGTGAAATGCATTCATGTCCTCACTATTGGAACAGAGAGGAATTCAGTCAAGGGCTTACAAGTGAGGTACATACCCCATGACTTCCTTGGCTTCTTGTTTGTATTTCACAGCATGACTATGGGGGGGGGCAATGTGGAGCAGCACCCCAGGGCCCCATGTGTCCCCATCCTGGTCAACTTTCGCCTGTGAGACCCTCATTTGCCAGTGGCTAAAGCAGTTCTCATCCTCACCCCCCTCACTTCATAAGACCCTGCAGCCTCAGCAAGACCTGCAGCTGGGCCCTGCCACCAATTTTCACCCATGTGGGGACAGGATTGCAGACAAGCCCACTGACCAATGGCCCACGGGGATGCTGGAGCCCACTGGCAGGGGGTTTGAGTGGGGACTGGTCTCTAAATGAACATATTTTGAGGACGGAACATTTCTGTGTCATGATTTCCCCTGCTCCCCAAAACCATGGAAAACAGGAATCAAGCAAGCATTGCTGCTTCATCTGGGGACCAGAGCTGGGTGACAAGCTGCTCCCTGTCTCGGCTCTGCCATCCTTGCAAAGCTCTCAAGGCACAGGCAGCTCCTTCATTAGAAGCCTCCAGGCTCAAGATGTCCATTGACAGATGAATGGATAAAGAAGATGTGGTGTGTATATATATATATACACACACATATACACACAATGGAATATTATGCAGCCATCAAAAGGAATGAAATCTTGCCATTTGCAACGATGTGGATGGAACTGGAGGGTATTATGCTGAGCAAAATAAGTCAATCAGACCTCACTGATATGAGGAATTCCTAATCTCAGGAAACAAACTGAGGGTTGCTGGAGTGGTGGGGGGTGGGAGGGATGGGGTGGCTGGGTGATAGACATCGGGGAGGGTATGTGCTATGGTGAGCGCTGTGAATTGTGTAAGACTGTTGAATCACAGATCTGTACCTCTGAAACAAATAATACATTATATGTTAAAAAAAAAAAAAAGAAGAAGAAGAAGATAGGAGGAGGGGAAGAATGAAGGGGGGGAAACCGGATGGGGAGACGAACCATGAGAGACTATGGACTCTGAGAAACAAACTGAGGGTTCTGGGGGGGGGGGATGGGTTAGCCTGGTGATGGGTATCAAGGAGGGCACGTAGTACATGGAGCAATACGCAAACAATGAATCATGGAACACTACATCAAAAACTAATGATGTAATGTATGGTGATTAACATAACATAATAAAAAAATAAAATAAAATAGTCAAAAAAAAAAAAGAAGTCTCCAGGCTCAGGCTGGGTTTAATGCCCTCCCTTCTCATCCAGCAGCCTGAAGCCAGAGGTCAAAGGTCAGGCAATGGTCCTCCAGTGTCCAAGTCTGCAGGAAACCCCACAGCACTTTTAACAATGGCTCAGAATGAAAAGTGCCATGAAGAAACAGAGGCCAGGCATGCCGGAGAAGAGGAGATTCCAGTCTGCTCGAATGGCAAGACCAAGAGGGAGGGAGAGTTGGCACTTTCTGTGCCCACAGTAGGCAAGAGACAAATACCTACACTAGCACCTTCTGGAATCTGAAGCCCGTTCTGCTGGACTTCTTGGCTGGAGAGGGAAAGACCCATATAATTTTCCAATTCTGCCAGGCTTGGGTACAAAACTGACGGGAAGGGAACAGAAGGAAGAGGAAAGGTGTTACTCAGGGGCGTGAACTTGGCCACACCTGCCTGGCTCCCGTGGTCACTCATTTGTATTAAGAAACATGGCCTGGGGATGTTGTTTATCCCCGAGAATGCAAGGGAACACTCGCTGGTGATGTGGGTTCTCTCCTCAGAAGGGCTGAGGGGCAGGGGTCTCCCCAGGAGCAGCCTGGGACACAGGGGCTGCAGGGGCTACAGGAGGCAGGCATCTGACCTCAGGGCAGCTCCCAGGACACTGCAGGGAAGGAGGGACAGAGTGAGCCTGAGGTCAAGTTAGCTGCCACAGGACCTGAATCAAGACTGCCACCAACAACTCAAGGGGCCACCACAAACAGCTTGGACTCCTCACTCAGCCACAGAAGGGAGCCCCAAATCAGGGGAGTTAATGCTCTCACTAAGCCACAGTTTCCTCGGGGTCCCCATCAAAGGGTTCTGGTGGGGATAAAATGTTCAGGAAGCCCACAGCACAGGGGCAGGCAAGAGGCTGTGCTGGAAGTGGCCACAAGAGGTCACTGTCAGTCAGGAGCGCCCCACCCTGTCGACTGGCTCACTCACCTGAAGACTGGGAGACTGGCAGGGCAGGCATTCTGGGTGCAGCTCTGGCCTGGGCCTGGGAGAGGTGAGGAGCACTGGTCAGCTGTGGCCAGGACCCCCAGAACCCTTGGAGCCTGGGGCTCCCTGGGGATCAGGGCATTAGTTACGCTGGCGGGCCTAAGGTGGGGTATCCATGAACCTTGGAGGTGTGTAAAGGTGGCCTCTGCACACGTCCATGTTTCTGGGGAAGGTTCTCCCCGTAGCCTGCAACCCACCAAACGTCATGACCCGCTTACTACCTGAGGCAGCCAGAACACTGAGGCCCACCTCCCAATGAAATTCTCAGTCAAGAAGTCCCAAATTCTCAAAACCCACTGGAACCACAGATGAATGGAAGGAAAAAGGGGTGTCTGGGGATGAGCAGGCCAAAGGCCATGCCCATGGGGTTTACTCTGGAAGCCTGTCTACAGTGGAGTCTACCTGAACTGGGAGAGAGGAAGTCCTAGGATGCACAGGAGAGGCCTGTCTGCTGTTTGGGCTTTTCCATCCCTGCTGTAACTCCACTGCCTTAACCTCTGGACACCTGTCCACTAGCAGGTCCTGCAGTGGTGACCTGCATGCCCAGGGACCCAACACCCAGCACCTTCCAAGACAAGCCTCCCTTACTTACCCTGGGGCAATCACAAAGGCCCCTCGAGGTGGCCTAGGCTAACACATGCCTAGTGGCTCACCTGAATGGCTTGGTCCAACTTCAGGTCCTCCAGAGATGGGTACAGGGTGGACATGGCTGCTCCTGGGAACACCCTACAGGCACAGAGGGTGAGAAGGGGTGAGGGGTGAGAGGAAGCATGGATGTCTACCTCTTGTTCATGTGTGCCACTCAGGACTCTCAGGATGAGAAAGAAATCAGGAAGGTATCATCCCCATTTTGGAGATGGGGGAGTGGAGTTTGAACCCAAGTTTGTTTTATTCCCAAGCCCATGATCTCCACCCTTGCAAAATTCTACCCCATCTGTTCAACTGACTCTGGGCTTTAGACCCCAGACCCCAGGGACCACCCAGGACGTGCTGGCCAGGAAGAGCAGGACTAGGGATCAAGTCCTTCCCTGACATGTTTCAAAGGTCAGACAGACTTATAAGGTCTGGTGACTCAAGACCCAAATTCAATCCAGCAGGTTCATAGTGAGTACCTGCTACATACCTGGCCTTTGTTAGGGGTGCATACAGCGTCACCCCCCAACTACACAGAATTCAGTCCAGTGTTAAGTAGGTGGGGTCTTAATTACAACAGAAAGGCAGCAGGGCATTTAGAATCTCTCCCCTACCCCTCACACCCCTGTTCACCTCTGGGTGTTTGAGCTCCTACTGTATACCACCCATTTCCAGCCTTGATCTTAGCCTAGGCTTCCACTCTTCTCCTTGTAAAGTTCTGATCTTATTAAATGCAGTGTCTTAGGTTTTGCATTTAGGCCACTAGTTTGAATGTATGAACTAGGACCACCTAATACATTGCATTAGACCACTAGTTTGAATGTAATTCTCCTAAGGTCAAATTAAACCTGTTTGCATCTGGCCTGTGAGCCACCAGTTCCAATCTCTGGAGGAATCAGAAGTCTGTGTGGGCCACTTTAGGGAATGTGGGCTAGATATTGAGAGCAGTGGGGAGCCACCAGGGGGCTCTAAGCAGGGGTAAGACATCCCAGGCTCAGGCAGAAGGGCTACTGCCTGCCATCTGGAGAACAAAAGAGGAGGCAAGAACCACTGGAGGATTTTGTGGCACCAGGGGAGGGGCCGGAAGATGATGGCGATCTGCCACAGCATGGGGGTTATGGGTGGGATGTGAGAGAGAAGGGATTTGATGGCAAGTTAGAAGGAATGGTGTGTATGGTGGGGGGGGGGGTGAAGGCAGCAGGTGCAGAGGAAGGAGAAGGAGCAATGATGGATGAAGATGACCTTGGCACCTGTGGGTCACTCAGGGGAGATGCCCAGAGGATCTGGACCTGGGCAGGACTGGAGTCCCATCACCCCTGGCGCAGCCCATTCAGTTCTCTGTGACCACTCCAGACACCCCTTTATTGTGTATACCTGCTCTGATAGCCTCCCACCTTCCTAGGAAGGAAACAAGGACCAGAGGTCCCAAATGTATTTCATTCACCTTTCAGTCTTGTTTCTTGTTTTTTCAAATTTGAATTAGTGTCAACATTTTAAAGTCTGGGGATAAAAAAATTCTTCTCTTCTAATTTTTATTTTAAAAAGTCAAAATATTTGGCAATGCAAGAGCAGGAGCCATGCACAGCGATACCCAGTCCAGGCTGAGTTGCAGCCAGCCTCTTAGATGAAGCCGCCTGTGCTTTCTTGGTTCCCAAAGTACCCGGCCAGCAATTTACATCCCCTGCTTGGCCCTGGAGGAAGGCAGCTCCAGATCCTTGCCCTAGTCCGGTCTTTGCGGCAGGAATGATCATCTCAAGAGGACAGAGATTGTCCCATGGGGGAGAGGAAGACTGGCTCTGACCTCCTGTAGACCAGCTGGGGGAATAAACCCCTTTGCCTGTGGCCTCCCCCACTGTGCACACACTCTGGGAGAGTTTTCTCTTGGGACAGTCCTCAGCAGGTACCATTCGCCAAGAGCAAGCCCTGTTACCAGGACCACGCATGAAGAGCTTATGTGAAAACGAGAGGCCACCCCTGCCCTGCTTTTTCTACCACTGAAGCAGCACAGCAGTTATATTTTTAGTGGCTTCCCTCTGGGAGAGCAGAACCAGAAATCCACTTCCTAGAATCACTCACAGGCCAGGACCACACACTTCCTCTGTATCTGGGACCTTCACCACCTCCACCTTCAGTGAGTCCCAACTCAGTTTCGGGCTCTGGGCAGAACGAGGAAGCAGGTATTCCCCTGCCTTTTAACATTTATGATCTAGTGGGGAATGGCTCCCAGCCAGCAAATAGGCCGTGCCTCATTCAATCACCTGTCTATCCACTCATAGCATTTGAGTATCTACTGTGCACCAGGGACCCTGGACCTATTTTAGTCATCCTGGGCCATCTGCTTGGCACACCACCTTTCCCTGCGTGGTGCTCTTTGGAAGGTTTAGCTCAAAAGCTATTTCTTGGGTTGCCTTTTTCAGGCCGTAGGACCCCCTGCTAGTTGGTTGGGTCTTCTTGTGTTCCTAACCCTGACTTGTGCTCTCTACTGTCAAGCTATTTACCATATTATAGGATTGACATCTGGGTATTTTCTCATACTGGACCCCACCTCACAAGGGCAGGCAGGGGCTGTGTCCCGTTGACCACACACTACACCTCCCCACTACAACAGCAAACATGCACGGTGGCAAAAATTGTTATTTGAATAAAACAGTAGTTTTCCAAGAACAGACTGGAAATTTCTGCGGGCATTTTTGGGTGTCACAAGACTGAGGGGGACATTACTAACATTTAGGAAGCAGCGAACAGAGATCTGTACTTCTTGGAACACGCAGAATGTTCATCACAACAAACTGTCCTCCCAAAACTTCACGTGGGCATAAAGCCTGCTTGTAACCTGTTTCATATACAAATACAGTACTTCCTGGTTTTAATATGCAATATGTTATCCAAACATGCATATACCAGGTTAATCAAGGGAGGTTATACTTTGTTTTGTTCACCATTCTGGAAAATCAGTGTCAATCCTTCTCACCACAGGTGAGTCAGCAGAACGCGCCCACCTGTGCCTGCACTGTGGCTGTCGTACTAATTCCACACCTGTACACAAATACTTAGCCTTTGATTCGAGACGTCAAATACAAACTGTGGCAAAATTCAGTTGAATACCGTCTTCTCTTAAATCCAAACTTACTCAGTTTGAGTTAGGTACAAACACGATCTGGGTGTAATCCTGTTTCAGCTTTTGCAAAGTGAAGGGCATATTCTTCTACTATAAATTACTTTCATTGCCCGTGTTCCGCCTGTATAATAACGACAGGGCATCATGCTGGTTCACCACCCGGAACCACCGTTCGCGACGAACCCGCCTCCTCCCACAGCCTCAGTTTTCTCGCTTTGCGCAACCAGGCACAAAGTCCACGAATGCGGGGGCCGGGGAAAGCCCCACGGGCCGTAGAGCCTGTTCTTCACCCCCAGGACTCAGTTTCCCTTTCTGTCGCACCGCTCAAAAATCGCCAACGACTCCCACTCCGACACACCCTTCGCTCGGAACCCGGCCGGAAGTGACGCCTCCCGGTTGCTCTGGGCTACAGCACCTGCGCAGAGTCCCCTCCAGGCCGCTAGGGCGCGCTGCGGCGTCTAAAACGCATGCGTCCCACCCACTGGCCTGCGCGCTGCTACGGATGGCTCCCAGGTTGCCGCGCGGCAGCAGGGTGAAACATGGCGGCTTCCTCGTCGGGCGGGTTGGTAGCTGGCTGGATTGCTAGAATCCACCCGGCCTCTCGCTTTCTCCAGGTGCCCATGGCTGGCGCCGCCACCCACAAAAAGAAGTCAGGTAAAGCAGCAGAGTAAGGGATGGGGAGGCTCGATCGGGCCCCTTGTCCCCTCTTTACTGGACTGGAGGCCGCGCGGAACAAATCGAGCTTTAAAGGGGCGAGTATCCCCCCACGCCCCTGACCCTACAGGACCATTTACGGCTTCCAGAGGAGGGAGGGTGCGGGTGATCCGCTCCCTGCGGGCTGATAAGATTCTGTTTCTAAGGCAGCTGTGGGAGGGGAGGAGGGTATAGACACGCCTGCGCTCCCCGCTGCCTGTGCCTGGAATGAAGACCCCTCGCCCGGTAAGGCTTCCGAAGCGCTTTCAGTTCCTACCCATTGTGACATCACTGACCCTCCCACTGGGTTTTGTTTTTGTTTTTGTTTTTTTTTGCCTGGCCCCGACTTCTGACCAGGTGCTTAGCTGCAAGTGCCCCGCCCCCACTCTACGCAGATTCACCCTGGGATCCCACCCGAGAGTAGCTGAGTGATTGAGCCCCGCTACCCAGAGTAGGGGTTTTGTGCCTGGCCAGGCAGATCACTTCCCAAAGCAGAATTGGACCCACTGCTCCTTATGAGGGATTCAGGCAGTTTGGCTTACGGAGTGCAGGACAAAAGGCTACGGCGACCAGGAAAGCCTTCTGTAGGAAGGAAGGAAGGAAGAGAGTGGGTGTGGAATGTGCTACTACAGGGATAGGGAGGCCCAGACCCAAGAGTCCAGCTGCCTTCCAGATCTTTACTACCTCCCAGGTTATTCAAACTGAACTCCTTTTTTCCTAGCATTGCTGTCCCTCTACAGCTGCCCTACCAAGTCCACCCCCTGGTCTGAGCCAGAAATCTGGGAGTTAACCTCAGCTCCTGCTCTTGAAGCCCTACCCAGCTCTTGCCCTCAGGATAAATCTCTAAACTTCAGCTTGGCATTCAGATCTCCATGACCTGACTCCTGGCACCATCTGCAGTCACACCTTCTCACTTTTCCACACTCACCCTACATTTCATTCATTCCAGACTGCCTGCTGACACTAGAACTCACACTCCTAGTTCGTGCCTCCCTGCCTTTTCAGGTGCCTGTCCCTCTGTCTTGAATGATATTCACGCCTTCTCCCTCCCCCTCGTTCATCTGGTGAACTCCTGTTCCCCCAATTCTTAGCTTTCCCCCAAATCCCCACACCCACACACACTCAAAAAATTAGGCAGACCTCCCTTCTCTAGACCCCAGAACCTCATATTCACCTATTCATCCTTCATTCCACTAATGTTTATTACGCATTTCTTGTGAGCAAGGTCTTCTGCATTCCCTGGGATTGAATTTCCTCTGTGTTTTTATTTGCCTGTTTCCCTCCCCAGTGCTGAGCCCAGTGTCTGGCACAGGGCAGGAATCCAGTTACTCTTAAAGGAATGGGAAAGCAAGACACAGAGGGAAGAGAAAGCCCCAAAAAAGTCCTTTGAAGAGAAACTCTGGGCCTAGAAAGGGAGAAAAAAACCACTGCCCTAATGTGGTAGATTAAAAGGCTGCTTCCTACAATCTGACAATGAAAGAGTTCCCTCAGCTCAGTGCTGGCTTCCTGCAATTAATTGGCTCCTGTGAAAGGAAAATAACCCATCTCTCTCAAAGGAATTTTCCTTTCCCCTGCACTTCACAGAATTTCCATCTCTGAACCTCTGTATTTTTTTATAAAAGCAGTAACACCACCCACAGCAATCCAGCAGTCAGGTCCTTGGAGATCAGCAGGGCTGAAAGGGGTCATCAGCTCCCATCTTTGGGTTTTGGAATGAGAACACGCCTTTGGAACACCTTGTTCCAAAGAGCTGAAACTATGGGACTCCTACTTGTTCCTGTGGACAACTCATCCATCCTTCAGAAGACAGTGTGTGCGGGAGGGAAGCGTGGGTTAGAGTGTCAGAGGAATAGCTCCTGGAAGGCCAAATTAGCCCAGGGATGTGATGTGGTGAGTTAGAAAGGAAGAGGCTGTTGCTAGGCCACCAGCATATACCCCCTTCTCTTCAGGGCTATACTGCCTGCTGGAGAAAAGCTGTGAACTTCTTTGGGGAATGCAGATGCTTCCGAATGCAGGCCCCTGAGAGGCAAAGCAGGAACAAGACGTGGTAGGCAGGCAGGACTGGGTTCAGACTGCTGCCTCTAATTTGTGAGAGCAAGCATGGACAAGTCCCTTTTGAGTGTCATCTCTTCCTTTGTGATATGGGTAACAGTACTTGCATCACAGAGTTATCATGAAGATTTAAAGATCCTTAAAAAGAGAGAAGATATGTATGGAGCTCACTTAGCACAGTACCTAGCACTTAAAGGGCATGCAGTCATCGTTAGCTGTTCATTCAGGACATTTACTGAGCGCCTAAGCTGTTCTAGGTACTGAGGCAGTGAGCAAGAGGAAAGTCTGTCCTTGAGGGTGTCTTTCTAGCTGGTTAGAGAAGTGTGTTTGCTGTGTTAGGTGATGGGAAGTCATCGGGAGAAAGATAAAGCAGGATGGAGGGTAGAGTGTCAAGAGGTCCAGAAGGGCCTCACTGCGGGTCAGGAGTGACGAGTGGCTTGTGTAAAAGCCTAAAGGGGTAGGGAAGAGCATCAGGGCTGAGGGCATGGCCACTGCGGCGGCCCTGAGGTGGGGGTGCCTCTTGTTTAGAGACCATCTGGCCGATGAGACTGGAGTCTTGTTCAGAGGGGGAGCAGTGGTGAGGAGGTGGGAGAGGATGTGAGCGGGCCAGGTCCCCAGGGGTCCACAGCCAGCATTTGGCATTTACTCTGCCGAGATGGGAGCCACTGGAGAACGTTGAGCAGCAGAGTGACAGGGCCCAACTTACATTTTAACAGCCCCTCCTCTTTGGCTAACATTGGGAGAACAGACCAGAGGGTCAAGGGTGGACACAGGGAGCCCCAGGGAGCAGTGATGGTGATGGTGGTGTGAGAATTGCTACTAGTTTGGAAATCGAAAATGTAAAACAGAAAAACTCTTTAAAAACAAAAACAATTGTTTTCGTTAGTTCGGGCCACCCTACGTAAGTAGCCAGTGCAGCGTCCTCCCCCGAGAGCAGCCTCGCCTGAAGCTCCATTTTCTGCGGTGTGCGGGGCACAGACTGTCCCCCTTGGTTCCATTAGCTCAGTCAGTGCTCCCGGGGATGCTTCCAGTGTCCACACAAGGAAACCGGTTCTGAGAGAGGTCAAGTCGCCGGCCGCGTTCCCCAGCAGATTTTTCCTCGCCTACTTAGGGTAGTGGGTAGAAACTGCTGCAGGCAGAGACGTAACAGAAACTGAGGCGTATACTCTCCGTTCCCTGTGGAAATCCACTCTGCTTGGCCTTCCAAAGGTCCCCTTCAAGGAGCAGGGTGTGGGCCGCATCTCCTGAGTGCTGCCACAGGAGGTTACAAGGAGCCTGCGGCCCCCATGATGTCTGGATAAAGATCACTCAGCCCTCAAACCTGACCCAGGGCAGGGGTCAGAGGAGACCCCCGTTCACACTATGCCCCCAGAGGGAGGCACCTTGAAAGAAAACTACCCGGGAGGCCCCAGAAGGGTCAGGACTGGCCAGACGGCAAAAGACCAAGCCTCACTAACCTCATTCTGGGTAATATGGGCCCCAGCTCTTACCTGCCGGCCAGGTGCTGCCGAGCGTCCTCTGCCAGTCACTGCCAAGAGAGTCTGGAAGCGGGTGGCCCTTGTCCCAGCCAGGTTCCTGCTCTGGGAAGGGTGGTGCCTGCTTCCCTGTCAGCTGACTCACCCAGATGGACCTAGGTAAATGCCCTGTGAGTATATAAACAAAGCAAGTCACCGGGCCCAGAGGAGGGCTTGGGCCTTAGTCAAGATGTGGAGGTGGGGTTAGGGGCTCGCAGCCACTGGTGAGAGGGGTAGGAACCAAGATTTCTTGACCTTGAGGATTTAGATTGGACATCCAGTCCTGCTGAACATGAGGACAGTTTGAGGGGCATCCAGGGCCTTAAAAAATGGCCATAACTGGGGCACCTGGGTGGCTCAGTCG